TGACCATATAATTGTGGGTTTATTTCTGGGTTTTCTACTCTCTTCTATTGATCTATGTGTCTATTTATGTGCCATTACCATACTGCTTTGATTACTACAGCTTTGTAATGTAACTTGAAATCTGTAATTGTGATACCTCCTATTTTGCTTCTCTTTTTCAAAATTGCTTTGGAAATTTGTGTCTTTGTGGTTCCATATTAATGTTAGGATTGTTTGTTCTAGTTCTGTGAAAAATGTTCTTGGTAGTTTGAGTAGTTTGATAGGGATTGCATTAAATGTGTAGATTGTTTTGGGTAGTATAGCTATTTTAACAATATTTGTTCTTCCAATCTGTGAGCATGGAATGTCTTTCCATTTCTTTGTATTATCTTCAATTTCTTTTTTTTTTAAAGATTTTATTTATTTATTTGAGAGAGAGAGAATGAGAGAGAGCACATGAGAGGGAGGAGGGTCAGAGGGAGAAGCAGACTCCCTGCCGAGCAGGGAGCCCGATGCAGGACTCGATCCAGGGACTCCAGGATCATGATCTGAGCCGAAGGCAGTCACTTAACCAACTGAGCCACCCAGGCACCCTATCCTCAATTTCTTGTATGACTGTTTTATAGTTTTCAGAGCATATGCTTTTCACCCTTTGGTTAGGTTTATTCCTAGGTGTCTTATTATTTTTGGTGCAATTGTAAATGGGACTGTTTTCTTAATGTTGCTTTCTGCTGTTTCATTATTAATGTATAGAAATATAACAGATTTTTGCACATGGATTTTGTATCCTGTGGCTTTACTGAAATCATTAATCAGTTCTAGTAGGTTTTTGGCGGAATCTTTAGGGTTTTCTACACATAGTATCATGTCATCTGCAAATAGTGAAAGTTTTACTTCTTCCTTACTGATTTGGATGCCTTTTATTTCTTTTTGTTGTCTAACTGCTGTGGCTAGGACTCCCAGTACTATATTGAATAAAAGTGGTGAGAGTGGACATCCTTGTCTTATTCCTGACCTTAGGGGAAATGCTCTCAGTATTTCCCCATTGAGGATGATGTTGGCTGTGGGTTTTTCATATGTGGCTTTTATCATGCTGAGGTATGTTCCCTCCAAACCTACTTTGTTGAGGGCTTTTATCCTGAATGAATGTTGTAACTTTGTGAAATGCTTTTTCTGTGTCTATTGAAATCATCATGTGGTTTTTATCCTTTCTTTTACTGATGTGATGTATCACATTAATTGATTTGTGAATACTGAACCACCCTGCATGCTGGGAATAAATCCCACTTGATTGTGATGAATAATTTTTTAAAAATATATTTTTGGAATCTGGCTGCTAATATTTTATTTAGGAATTTTGCATCCATATTCATGAGAGATATTGGCCTGTAGTTCTCCTTTTTTGGTGTCTGTCTTAATCTGGTTTTGGTATCAGGGTGATACTGGCCTCACAGAATGAATTTGGAGGCTTTCCTTCTATTTTCTGGAAGTGTTTGAGAAGAATAGGTATTAACTCTTATTTAAATGTTTGGTAGAATTCCCCTGTGACACCGTCTAGTCCTGGACTTTTGTCTGCTGGGTTTTGTGACTACTGGTTTAATTTCCTTGTTGATATCATCAGTCTGTCCAAATTTTCTATTTCTTCCTGGTTTAGTTTTGGTAGATTATATATTTATCCATTTCTTCTAGGTTGTCTAATTTGTTGGCATATAGTTTTTCACAATATTGTCTTACAATTGTTTGTATTTCTGGGGTGTTGATTATTTCTCCTCCTTCATTTCTGATTTTGAGTACTCTCTCTCTCTCTTTGATGAATCTGGCTAGAGGTTCATCAATTTTATTGATCTTTTCTTTTTTTTTAAAGATTTTATTTATTTATTTGAGAGAGAGAGAATGAGAGAGAGCGAGTACATGAGAGGGGGGAGGGTCAGAGGGAGAAGCAGACTCCCTGCTGACAGCAGGGAGCCCAATGCGGGACTCGATCCCGGGACTCCAGGATCATGACCTGAGCCGAAGGCAGTCGCTTAACCAACTGAGCTACCCAGACGCCCTTATTGATCTTTTCAAAGAACCAGTTCCTGGTTTCACTGATCTGTTCAATTCCTTTTCTAGTTTCTATATCATTTATTTCTGCTCTAATATTTATTATTTCACTCCTTCTGCTGGTTTTTGGTTTTGTTTGTTGTTCTGTACCTAGCTCCTTGGTGTGTAATGTTAGGTTGTTTATTTGAGATATTTCTTGCTTCTTGAGGTAGCCCTGTATTGCTATAAACTCCTTTCTTAGGACCACTTTTGCTGTATCTCAAAGGTTTTAGACAATTGTGTTTTCATTTTCATTTGTTTCCATGTACTTTTTAATTTCTTTTTTGATTTCTTTTTTGGCCCATTCATTGTTTAGTAGCATGTTATTTAAGTATACTTAGTATACTGTGGCAAAAGCACAAATTCATGGAGATTAAATAAGAAGAAACTTTTTAAAACACCATTAATGTGTTTCCCAACCAGAGTGATCATAGCTATTCTACCTTGTAACAAGATGGAAGTGCAGCTAAAAATAACCTGAAATTTATCTGATCAAAGTCTGCCCTCCCTATCAGGAAAGCTATTCTGTTGCTTCTACTTAATCATGAGAGAGAAAAACAAACAAGTAGAATATGAAACTTGAAGAGATACAAAATTTGGATTGTTTGAAATGTCTCCAGGGCCTCTGCATACCCATGTGTGCCTACTTGGGTGGGGAAGGAACTGGTTTGGGTAGAGGCTACATGTGTGTTTCCACAGTATTCCTGGATTTAGGTATCTGCACATGTGTGTTCATGAAGTGCCTGGGATAGCATGTGGATTATTTTTATTAAGTATGTATTTTCTTGTACACATGTATATTTGTCTGAATGTATTTGTGGATGTTGGTGCATAAGTGAGAGTAAATGAGAGTGTGTGAGTGTAAATGTGTGTGTTCAAAGAGTAGCTTCAGTGGCTTTCTTGTAAAAATCCTAATCCATCATTAGTTCCCAGAAATACAAAGAGAGAGCTGCATATCTCTGGTGAATCTGGTTATATCCAGTGGCCTATAAGCTCTCTGAACATAGGGATTTCTAGAGCCCCTTAATGCAGAGTTGGGCTTCTAAGGAGTACTTGTTGAATGACCAACTGACAATAGTTTTAACACATGCCTGGATCTAAAGCTATGGGCGTTAGTAGTCAACAGGTTGAGAGAGAGTAATCTAGACCTACAGGCCTTCCTGATGCCCCTGTGAGAGACCCGTCTCCTCCGCCCCTCATACATCAAACATGCCCCTTACTGAGCTTTCCCTATGTGTCAAGTATTCTATTAAGTGCCAGGGAAGCCATGAAGACTTGGTACTTGTCCTTAAGGAGTATACAGGGAGTCTGTTATATTTCTGTATCCTCTTTGTTCCACACTTGAAAAACAAAGTTCAGGCCTGGCCTCACAACCACTCATGACTCCCTCTGCTGAAAACTAGCCTACTTTTCCAACTGACTTATAGACCTTGCCTGAGTGAAGAGCCATGTAAAGTCAACATACCTAAACCAACTCTCAGCCTCCAGTCTTTTCCCCCTTGTAGTCCACCCTGTACAGACTGCTAGGTCATTCTAAATCATTCTAAAACAACACTTGCATATTTTTACTGCCCTATTCAAATCCACTCAATCATTCTATATTACCTACAGACAAACTCTATCACATCCCTATATAATTGTTTATATTTACCCAACAGGTCTAAAGAAAACTTGTCTCCTGCTAAGTAGTAGTGCCACTGAAGATACACAGAAAAAAATCTAAGTAGTGATCATGGACATTTCATATTTTTTGGATATTTCATACTGTCTAAACATTTTTTTCTGATTTTAAGATTTTTATTTTCCATACAAAGTCACTCATTCAACAAAAATTCTTTGAGCATCGGGGCGCCTGGGTGGCTCAGTTGGTTAAACGACTGCCTTCGGCTCAGGTCATGATCCCAGGGTCCTGGGATCGAGTCCCACATCGGGCTCCCGGCTCAGCAGGAAGCCTGCTTCTCCCTC